ATTTCTTAAAGCCTGTCAGAGTACCTAGCTGGCAAGGAATCTTTCTGAAATTAACATTTGTTTCATAATTTATAAGGAAATTAATTGTGCTGTGTCTCTTTGCATCTTTTTTATTTTGATCTGTTATTTACTTATTTTAGCCTTAAGGAGTGAATATATGGTTGCTTACCTAGGATCTTTGCAAAAGACTGTCACATATATTTTTTTCAGGTCAGGGTATATTGCATCCCACTGCTGGATTGCATATAAAATAGACACTCAGTACACATGTGGCCAGGAAATATCTTCCGAATCAAAGTTGTTGTTCAGTTGCTCAGTCATGTCTGACTCTTTGTGACCCCCTGGACTATAGCACACCAGTGCTTCAGTCCTTCACAGTCTCCCTGAGCTTGCTCAAACTCATGTCCATTGAGTCGGTGATACCATACAACCTTCCTGTCCTCTGTCATCCCCTTCTCCTCCTGCCTTCAATCTTTTCCAGCATCAGGGTCTTTTCCAATGAGTCAGCACTTCACTTCAGGTGACCAAAGAACTGGAGCTTCAACTTCAGCATCAGCCCTTCCAATCAAGTTAAAATAATAAAATGCTAAGAGTCTCAAGTACCAGGCAAAGGAGTTTGGAGCTGTGTTTATTTCACTCTCACTTATTGGAACAGAAATTTCTTCCACACACATTACTCTGGATGTTGCACTCCTTGTTTTTGCTTCTGACCCTAAGTCCCTTTCTACTGAGCCCTGTAGGATGGGAAAAGAGAGACTCCAGTCTCTATAACTCTCCCTCTTGCTGGCTGTGGTCCTTTTCTGTCCCAATCAGAGATGAAGCAGAGAACTGAAACTCTCTGCTCTTCTTTCACTCTCTCCCATGTTCCCTTCCTTTTTTGATTTTCCCACTCTACGATTGCTGGTGGCCTTGCAAACCTGTGGAGAGGCTCATTCTCCTCCTGGGCTAAGGAGTCAGGGAGTAGACTCCAGTAAGCATTGGAATCCCTATTGGAAAGAGGCCATGTTCCCTGGGTTGTAATTGTCATGGAGGCCGTTGTCGTGGTGACTCTAGTATCAGGCAAGGCAGTGTGGATGGGAGAGAAAGGGAAAGAGAGGCAGAGAGAGGAGATGGCAGAAAGAAAAGGGAGAGGAAGAGAAAGACAAAAAAGGGGGGGATTCCTGGAAGATCAGAAGGTCTTTTTGTTTTTTTTTTTTTTACTTCACTGCATTGCATGTAGAATCTTAGTTCCCAGACCAGGTACTGAACCCATGCCCCCTCCAGTGCATGTGTGGATTCTTAATGAGTGAACTACCAAGGAAGTCCTGATTGGAGGATCTTTAATTTGGTAAGGACAGCAGGAGCTTAGGTGGGTGGGCGATTGTCATGACAGGAGGAAATGGCAAAGGTGGAAGGAGGTGAATCGAGCGATAAAGAGAAAGGGAGGGGATGAGAAGTGGAGATGAATGAAAGAGACAGGGGAGGGTGGAGAAAATTAAGGAGAGGATGAAAGAAGGGCTGAGGAATGAGTGGGGCTGTGTGCTGGGAGGGGAGGGGAGCCGGCACGGCTCTCGGCATAATCCCTAATTATTGCCCCAATGTTTTCCATCTCTATCTGCTCTTTGATCTCCTGTGTTACATATTAAATATGAGCAACCAAATGCCTGCATCTCTTGTCTAAAAACTTGATGAGGCAAGACTTCAAAGCGAGGAGTGGAACAAAACAGGCGGTGCCTGGCTTTTTGTACTACAGGATTGCTGGCCCAATTAGGTTAAATGGAGCCCTGAAATCCTCTTCTGATCTGAGCTGGGCACCCACACTGTGTCTGCTACTGGTTCCAGGTGTAATGAGATCAGCATCCCTGGGCTCCCAGCTGACCCCTCTCCAAGCTCCCCAGGCCCTCAGAGGGGCTACCTAGAAGCTGGCATCAGGGATGCAGGCCAACCTGGGCTGAGCTCTCCAGCGGGTGCCCCAGGCAGTAGATCCAAGGCTGGGTCAGGTTCTCTGCATGGCTGGGAAGCATCTAGTCACCTGATGGGTGCCTGAGTGCCAGGTTGTTGTTGATGTTCAGTCGCTCAGTCGTGTCTGACTCTTTGCGACCCCATGGACTGCAGCACACCAGGCTTCCCTGTCCTTCACCATCTCCCAGAGTTTGCTCAAACTCATGTCCATTGAGTCGGTGATGCCATCCAAACCATCTCATCCTCTGTTGCCACCTTCTTCTACTGCCCTCAGTCTTTTCCAGCATCAGGATCTTTTCCAATGAGTTGAACTTCACATCAGGTAGCCAAAGTATTTCAGCATCAGTCCTTCTAATGAATATTCAAGATTAATTTCCTTTAGGATTGACTGGTTTGATCTCCTTGCTGTCCAAGGGACTCTCGAGAGTCTCCTCTAGCACCACAGTTTGAAAGCATTAATTCTTCGGCACTCAGGTAGAACTGCCAAATCTGAACTTTGGCCTGTCCCCTTGTGTGTTTCATCCAGGTGCCCTAGGTTCTGATGCACCTGTATCCGCTGGTCTGTGGAGTCAGAGTCTGGGTCTGGTTGGCCCAGAGAGTGATCCAGTCGCTCTCTCTGGGCCTCAGTTTCCCCCTTCTTAAATGCAGAATGATACTGGGGACTCCAGTGCTATGGTGTATGCTTGCCTTGTTCTCCGTACCTTGCAAGGTGCCTCCGTGGGGCAGCCCCTTTGACCTCTAGGGTCCCCAGAAGGAAGGCCTTTTCCCATTCTGCACTGCAAGGCCCATAACCCATGTGGGCTTTTCTCTGCTCACATCCCTTTTCCTTTGCACTTCACCAGCCACCGTAACCTTCTCATACTGCCTGGCCACCCCTGTCTGAGAGAAGGGGGAACACTGACAAGCTTATTCGCCCTGAGTTAGGGGAGACCAAATGGGAGTATCAGGGCTTTCCAGCGGGCTCAGTGGTGAAGAACCTGCCTGCCAATACAGGAGACACAAGAAACGCAGGTTGGATCCCTGGGTTGGAAAGACCCTCTGAAGGAGGAAATGGCAACCCACTCCAGTATGCTTGCCTGGAAAATTTCATGGACAGAGAAGCCTGGTGGACTGTAGTCCATGTGGTTGCAAAGAGTTGGATACGACTGAGCACTATCACCAAATAGGAGCATTTACTTCTTGGAAAACACTGAAGAAAAGGCAACTATTTACTCAAAGAAGTGTCCCTGAGGACCAAGGCATTGAATTTTGTCTTTAGGAGGCAGTGGATCTGCTGTTGGCCCGCAAATTCTGCCCATGAGGGAAATTCTTGCTTTTGTCTATGGTCTTCTGGAGAGAGGGGTGTCAATCTGGGCAGCATGGGCCCAGGTTGTAAATTCCAGCTTATGACCTGAAGCATCTCTGTCTTCCTCGTCGTCTCCCTTATTCCAGGAATGACCCCTAAGCTCAGTGGTAACTCATCTGGGTGGGCACAGGAGGCTGGCAAAGAAGGGCACAGGAAACTGGGTCTCGGAGGAGCTCACAGCAGTGGACACAGTGCGAGCCTGTTAGTCTCCAGAGCAACACAGAACACAGCGCAGTCCCGTTTTCCACTCGGGCTCCCCCTCCTCATGTCTGAGGCTCTGGCCTTTAAGATCCTCTCACAGGCATCTCCTGAGGCCCCCAAACTTTCTGGAGCCCTGTCTGCTTGGCAGAAGGAGCCCCCAGTGCAAGGCCCTCAAGGGCGGCTGTCAGTGACAGATGTTATTTTATGGAAGATCGCCTCTGAAGTGAAACGCGTGGTTCCTGAGTGCTATAGGTAGAGAGCTGGAGGGGGAAGGGAGCCCCACCCTTGGCTGTGTTTCTCCAAGTCAGATGAGAAGCTGACTGGGGTGAAGAGAAGGCTCGCACAGAGAAGTACTCTTTTTTCTTGGCATTTGGGAGGTTCTGGGGCTCAGGCAGCCTGTGCCTTGGTCTCTGAGCTCATGAACAGAAAGATGAGATCATACCAGACCTGATGGATCCCAGATACTTGTTTATGAGTGTGGGGTCCCAGGAAAAAGCAATGATGCTCCTTTGACTTCCTAGAGGCCCCTGACAGCCCAAGTGAAGTCCGAGGCAGAAGTGGTGGGTCGATACTCAGGAAGGATGGCATTTGGAAGCTTATTGGGAACCTCCTATCAAGTGCAGACTTCCCAGGTAGTGCTAGAGTAAGGACCTCACCTGCCAGTGCAGGAGATATAAGAGCCATGGGTTCAATCCCTGGGTTGGGAAGATCCCCTGGAGGAGGAAATGGCTACCCACTCTGGTATTTCTTGCCTGGAAAATTCCATGGGCAGAAAAGCTTGGCAGGCTAAGTTCCTTAGGGTGGCAAAGAGTTGGACATAACTGAGGTGACTTAGCACACAAACACACATGCCCAACACAGTGCTTAAGAGCCAGCTTTACACTGGACTTCATGTACTACATCCTAGATTCTCCCTGAATAATATTGGATTAGTTACTCAGTCCTCTGTGTCTCAGCCTCCTCATTTGTGAAGTGGCTGATACTTGATCTATGCTATAGCCCTGCCATGAGGATTGGAGTGTTACAACAGTGCCTGGCACTGAGCAGTCAACAAATGTTACTTGTTCTTTCCATCCACTACCCACTGCTTATGATATCCCTGAGGACAGTAGGAAAGGTATAAGTCCTTTTAATAAGAGTGGAAAGAAAAAACTCTGCCCAGAACCCTGCCCTTTATTATTCTTTCCATAATGCCAGGTGTGGTGGGGATGAAGAATATTCAGCCTTGACACATGTGTATAGTTGTTGATTTTACTCACAGTTATTTCCAATTTTCTCTGTTTCTGAACATGCAGTAGGATTGTAATAAAAATTAGTTATGACCACAGGACTTGATTTGATCAATTAAATGTGAGCAGAAATTATGTATGCCACTTCCAGTGAGCCCCCCCCCCTTTTTTTTGGCTACCCCACATAGCATATGGGATCTTTGTTCCCTGACCAGTACTCAAACCTGTGTCCCCTGCTTTGGAAGCACAGAGTCTTAACCACTAGAGCACCAGGCAAGTCCCTCCAGTGAAGTTCTAAGATGCAGGGTACCACTTGCTACATCTGCTTCCTGCTATAGTGATTGTGTGAGCATGTGTTGTGATGAAGCTTCTATCATTGTGGGTTGCTGAGTGGCCAGGATGAATAGTCTCACAGCCAGCTCTCCCTGGACACAGAGTATGAGCCAGAGTGACCTTTGATTCTGAAAGAGCTAAGGATCATTTGTTGACTCAGAATAACCAAGCATATCCTGACTGATTGTCCATAGATTAAAGTATCCAGAACACTGAGTCTTCCTCCTAATGGAGTCTGCTTCCAGCTTTCAGAGGAACCCAAACAGAAGGAAGGGTGTAAGCAATCAGACCACTGTTCTCTGCCTCGTCTTTCAGTCGAGCAATTTCCTAGATGCAGCATTCAGCTCAGGTGGCAAAGATAGCAAAGAGAAGAAGGATTTCGTTTGTGTGTTTTTGTCTTACATTGTATTACCCCAGTAGAAAGGCTGGGATCTTCATTCACCAAGTTCCTCCCAAGCGTCTCCTAACATCTTAGATAAAGTGCAGAGATTTCGATCACAGTAGGAGCACCAGCATGGATGGGTTCGGAATGGGGCTTTGCTCACTCTTGTTTTGTTCTTAAGAACTGGATCTCCATGTCTCAGACACTTAGTCTGGGGCTGATATTCAAAGTGCCCTTCCTGGGGCATCAGGCTTAGAAGAATGCTCAGAACAAATGCTTATTCATATTCTAGAAGAAAGGGAATTTCCAGGAGATAACTGATGAACCCAAAGTCAAGCTCTACCCAGTCTTTGAAAGCCAGACCAATGGCATAATTTATAGTACCTGATGCAAGATAAACATGCTGGTTCCCTGGTTCAAAAGTACGAGGAATTTCAAGCTGGTGGATCTAGGGTATTAAGCCAAGCACAAAGACCTTCTCAGATTGTACTTTCTCTGCCGATTAAGCCATTCCTTCACAAGGAGAGAAAAGGAAATCCACCTGGATCTTGGGACACACCTACTCCCTTGACACTCTTGGCCTGATTCCAAAAGGAGCTGAGTGAAAAGTCATCCAGGCTGAAGAAACAACTCCAAACCCAGGCTCTGCAGTGTGGGTCACAGGCAGCTTCTTAATGCGCTCCTTTGCAGGGCAGGCTGACTCTCCTGGTCCTGTTGTTGAGATACAGGGCAAGAAGACAACAATTCAGAGATTAGATTTGGCCCTGTACCCTAGAAAGCCAGCTACCCATTCTGCTTGTTCTGTTTTAAATGTTCATGGGAGCTAAAGAAGAAATTCAGAATGCAGGAAGGAAGATGTATGTTTAAGGGCTTCTTTAGATCCCCAGTTGCCCTGTTTATTTCCTTGTTTATTTTCTGACTTCCACACATGCCATGAGGGCAGACCCCCTCCTGGTTCACCCTCCATCACCTACATACATACGATGCCAAATTAGGTCATCCATTGACACTTGCGGTGTGAACCGGCTGCTGGTGGGTGTGTTTGCATGACCACAGTGTAGAGTCATGCATGCATTTTGTGTGTGTGTGTGTGCAGATCTCTTCCCCCTTCTCCACTCAAACCTGCACTTAAGTCACAATGGGACATATTTAGGCTTAAGTGACTACCTAGCATATCAGATTATTCCTTCCAGAGACTGTTCTCTTATACAAGGGGATTCAAATGCCTTCCTTGATTCAATCAATCATCCATCACAAAATATTTACTAAATATCTAGAATTTGTTCATTCGAACTAAATAAGCAGTTATTGAATGACTATAATGGATCTAAGCTCCAGACTTAGGGTTAGAAAACTTCTTCTGTGAACTCAAGCCCCAGCCTCCCTCCTTGGGGGTGGGGACCCAAAGGGAGTTCAGGCTTGACACCTTCCTAGCTCCCTGGCATCACAGAGCCCTCTATGATGTGGTATGGATGTCTCTTTGGCTTTAGGTGAGGCTGGATCCTAATCAGAATTTGAGAAGGGACAGGGCAGGATCTGAAGGTGTCGCTCCTGCACCTCTGAAGACCCAGCCTGTCTCCACCCTCCCCAGGGAGCCACAGAGGAAAAAGGAGCCAGAAAAGCCAACAATGTCCCCAAGTTAACAAACACAGCCTCTTCCTCTCCAATTCTCTCTCTCTCTCTCCATTTACTGAAATGGTAATTTTAAGTCTCTAATAGCTCCTCAGGGCACTGAGGTGAGGCAAGAGGGGGATGTATTTATGTTCACATCTGCCAGCCTGTCTTCTCGGGTGATGGCAAGGCTGATGGCGCTGCTGCTGAAAGCTGCCTGCTCTGCCCCACTCGGTGAGGAGCAGAGCAGGCTTTGTTGCGTCTCCCTGGTGACCAGCCTGCCTGCCACTCTCAGCTGTGGGCCAGCCCGCCGTGTCCTCTCTCCAGGCTTCAAGTCAGCCCAGGGGGGGTCCATGCATATTCAAGCTGAGGAGACAGTGCCCTCCCCAGTAGGGCTGATGTCCTGGGTGTTTATTAATCACTGTCTAGAGTTCTCTCACAGCCACATGACTGGAGGCCCTGGCATAGGATGGTTGCAATGTCACCACTAACAATGGGCTCCGCAGAGTGGAAATGAACAATCAAGGCATTAATGAGGGGGTCCTGCTCCAGGGGCTGAGCCCTGGGGAAGGGACTCAGCCATCCTCAACTCCACCCAGAAGTGAGGTTGCCATTGTGGTTGCCTGATGTGATCTTGGTTCAGTGACAGCCTGGAAGCTCAGGGTAGTTACTGGGCACAGGACCTCTGCTGATCACCCAGGTGTGCATTTTTCAGGGATATTCTCCCATTAAATGCTTTCAACTTTGGAAATAGGTATCCATAGCCCCATTTTTCAGATGGAAAACTGGCATTTGGGGAACAGAAGTGACTTATACAAAGTCACACAGCCCATGAAGTGATGGGATCCTTTCCAAGACTCAGGACTTTTGTCCTGCAGGCTCACTGCTCTCATGCAATCCCACCCCCACCCCCAACACTGCCAAGAGAGGGTTATAATCAGAGGCTCTTCCAAGGAGTTTTCCAAGGAGTCTGTCTGATCAGTCTTTCTCTTCTCCATTTTGCACATTAGAGTTCATAAAAACTGTGCTTCTGGAAGGACTTACACAGGTTCCCAGTTGAGTCTCTGAGAAATCAGAGCTGAGAAGGGTGTGAGAGATCCTTGTTTTAATAAATTTGGAAGATTCCCCTGGAGAAGGAAATGGCTACTCATCCTTGTCAGGAAATCCAATGAACAGAGGAGTCTGGTGGTTTACAGTCCATAGGGTCACAAAGAGTTGGATACAATGAAGGTACTGAGAATGAGCGTGAAACTGAAGTGACAGCCCAGATCCCAACCTAGTTCTTCCAGCATCTTGCTTTAGGTCTTTAACTTACCCCTGTACACCCAGACCCCCGGGGCCTGATGATTTAGACCCAACCTGATTTGCATCCCCAGCAAATCTGCTTATTTTCCCAGCCTCCTAGCTCTGATGCCATTCAGATTTCCCAGGTGGGCCCCCTCTTTGACTCAAAGGTGACCTACCCTGGGTTCTACCTTTCTGTCTTCGTGTAGGTGTTTGCTCATCTTCTTTTTCCAAAATGACATTTTCTCCTGGCTTCTGTCTGAAATTGTTAGGTGTCATCTTTGTTGTAGACCTATCTCCAGCTTGTTTATTCTTCTCTCTCAGAATTCTTACTGTACACCCTGTTATACTTCATCTCTACTTAGATGTCCTTGATTAAATCAAGGGGTAGGGTATTTTATTCAGCTCTTGAATTTTCTCCAATGTCTGACAGGACCAGACACAAAAAAGTTCCTGAGGAATATATGGTAGATGATGCTGCCCATTTATAACCCCATATCTCCAATTTCACTGCCCCTGTCCACTCCCAGAGTAACACACAGCAAGTCTTCTTCCTTGATGTAGGACATGTTTAGTGACGAACTACTGTGTGTTGGACATAAGAGGTGCTGAAGGAGCAATGATGAGGAAGCCTCTTGGGCTTCCCTTGTAGCTCAGTTGGTAAAGACTCTGCCTGCAGTACAAAAGCCCCAGGTTCGATCCCTGGGTTGGGAAGATCCCCTGGAGAAGGAAATGGCTAACCCACTCCAATATCCTTGCCTGGAAGATCTCATGAACACAGGAGCCTGGTGGGCTGCAGTCATGGGGTGGCAAAGAGTTGGGCATGACTGAGCAACTAACATTAGCACTAACATTGTGTTCTGGACATAGAGGTGCTGTGGGGACAGTGGCGAGGAAGCCTCTTAGTCCATTAGGAGATTACTCTCTGATGGAGCAGAGAGAATCACAGGCTGGTGAGAACCAAGGAGAAGAGAAAGCCTATGGCTTCTCCATCCACAGGATTCTCCAGGCAAGAACACTAGAGTGGGTTGTCATTTAATTCTCCATAATGAACTAATAAATGATGTAGGATTAACATCCGACTCTAAGCTGGAACCCAAAAATGTACTGAGAAGAACAATGAAAAGACATGTTGTTACCCAACCCTGATAGCACATCAGCTAATTTTGGCCACTAGACTAGATTTTCCATTGGGCATGCAGCCATGCAGCATAAAAAGTATGGGGAAAAAAGATGAGGAAATATTCCTGGAAATATTCCATGAATCTAATGAAAAGGGAAAATGAAAGGAAGGCAAAGGGACATGTCATCGCTTAAACATTTTGTGTATATGAGTGTGGGGAATGAATGAGATCAGAACCAAGCTTCTGGGGGTAGGTTTTATCAGCCTTGCAATAGACAAGATGATTGGTGTTTCCAGTGGATTCTTCTAATGTGAGGGATGGATTTGATGGCATCTGTAGAGAACTTTGGAAGACCAGTTGGAAGGATATTGATACGGTTTGGGCCAATGATGATTACATCATGGAGAGGAGAGGTTTCCAAGATCTACTTGAGAAATAAATTTGAGAACACTTGGCTTCCCAGATGGCACTAGCGGTAAAGAACCTTCCAGCCAATGAAGGAGACAGAAGAGACTCAGGTTTTACCCGTGGGTTGGGAAGATGCCTTGGAGGAGGAAATGGCAACCCACTCCAGTATTCTTGCCTGGAAAATCCTATGGACAGAGAACCCTGGTGGGCTGCAGTCCATGAGTTCTCAAAGAGTCAAACACGACTGAACTGACTTAGCATGCATACATGCACATTGATGGATTGCATCTGGGAGATAAGAAAGAGCAATCCAGATTGACCGCTATGTTTCTGGCATGAGGAGGACTGGAGAAGGAATTAGTTGAGAGGGTTACCAAGAGCTCAGTGTCAGGCGTGTTAAGCCTAGACAAGTCAAATATCCAAACAGAGATGCCATCATCAAAAAAATCTGCAGATAGCAAATGCCAGAGAGGATGTGGGAACCCTATAACACTACTGGTGAGAATGTAAATTGGTGTGGCCACTATGGAAAACTTTATGGAGGTTCCTCAAAAATCTAAAAGTAGTTTCCATATAACCCAGCAATGCCATGCATGGGCATATACCCAGACAAAACTGTTATTCAGAAAGATATAGGCACACCTATGTTCAGAACAGCACTATTTATAATAGCCAAGACTTGGAAATAACCTAAATGCCCATTGACAGATAAATGGGTAAACAAGATATGGCACATATATGTGATGGAGTACTACTTGGCCATAAAGAAGTGTGGAATAATGCAATTTACAGCAACATGGATGCAACTAGAGATTATCATACTGAGTGAAGTTAGAAAGTCAAATATCATATGATATCACTTGTATGTGGAATCTAAAATATGACAAATGGACTTATTTATTCAATAGAAACAGGCTCATAGACATAGAGAATAGACTTGTGGTTGGTTGCAAAGGAGGAGAAGAGCTGTGAGGGGGATGGATTGGGAGTCTGGGATTATTAGATGCAAACTAGTATATATATAATAAATAAACAACAAGGCCTTACTGTATAGCACAGAGAACTGTATTCAATATCTTGTGATAAACCAGAATGGAAAAAATATGAAAAAGAATGTGTGTGTGTGTGTGTGTGTGTGTATAAATTTCTTTGCTGTACAGAAGAAATTAATGTAACATTCTAAATCAATTATACTTCAGTAAAACAATTATTTTAAGTTTTTAAATTAAAGAAAACAAAAAGGGATGTCAAGTAGACAATTAAATATACAAGACTGAATCTCTG